GTATCCCGAAAGTGGAGCCCCGTCCAAGCAGTAGCAAGGCAAATCCTGTTTCCTTTAAGGTGGCCACGTTCCCCCAGTGTCCAAGGATGCACCCCTTGCCCCAGTTCCCTTCATGCACAACCATGACATGAATCATTTCGCGTTTCCCACTTGAATCACATCCATCCTTTTCAAGAGCTATGATACATTGCCCCAGGCAACCATCCCGCTGTGAGGAAACCCGGGGAGGGGTCATCTGTCCGCTGCTGAAGCCAAGGACATCGGCGTCTGTCACCCGCCGTGCCTGCGTCGGAGGTCTTCAGCGGCGTTCAAAGAATCGGGGTTGAAACCTGCCTGTCACACACTCACTCGAGCCTGAAACAGGTGGCCCTTTCTTGTAAACCAAAATGAATGAATAATACAATAAAACAAAACAAAAGGTTAGGACCAGCAGATCTAAGATCAGAGTCGAGCCTGAGCCTAAAGACCACACGCGCGGAATCCCCGATCCACAGGGACAAAACTCAAATTTACCTTGCACAAGAATGACCGAGAGTTTGAGCAAACAGCAGGGGCACTCTTGCAACTGATAACCAGCAGAAGAGGATCAACAAAGAGGCCAGATTGCAGTGCATCGCAGGGGTACTTTTTAACTTGTCATTACAGCACAATACATCGCAAGCTCAGACTATGAGTGTCGCAACAACACGAAAAGTGGAGGGTCACTCCCAAGCTGATGTGCTCACTCAGCTGGTAAATCTGGACAATACAGGCGTCGGGTTCAGAGAGTTTGACATGTCTTAAATAGAATCTAGCCTCGGCAGATGAGCCTGCTACGTGTTCTCGCAAGTGCAACTTTCCATAATATCAACCAATAGCTTGTCTCCTTCCGTACATGTCGGAATTGGCTTCCTGCTCGCTAATGTTGAGACGATTGAACAGCAAGCAACTTCGTGGGAGAACACATTGTCAATTCTTGCTTTTCATGCCTGCTCATCAGAAAGTGAATTCAGGAACGAATCTGGATCCAGATCATGGAAGTATACACCAGCACTTTTCTTTGTTTGCAGGGCTCTCGGTCTCCCGCTCGAACAATTACCAATTGGGGGAAATAAGGTGAATGATCACCCAAAACACAAACAGGTGCACTCACTGTCTTGTTCTCTCTCTCTCTCTCTCTCTCTCTCTCTCTCTCTCTCTCTCTCTCTCTCTCTCTCTCTCATGTTCTCTCTGTCTCTCTCACTGCGCAACCTCTCTCTCTCTCACTGCGCAGCCTCTCTCTCTCACCGCACAGCGTCTCTCTCTCTCACTGCGCATCGCCTCTCTCTCTCCCTCTCACTGCGCAACCTCTTACACACTCTTATACACACAGACACGCGGCGCATGCTCACACACACACACACTGTTGGTACTGCAACATGGAGATCTGCGCAGCCGAGGATTGGACCTGGAACAACTTGTTGGTTTACGCCCAAGAGGCTGCAGTATTCCATCTATTAGCTCGGGTCAGGTACAGACTTCAGCAGTCCACTCCACTAAAAGCCAAGTGAATCAGCCTGCCATCCCATAGAGAGCAGGCCTCCATGGAACAATCGAACAGTATCCTTCCTTAGCAACAACACCCCTCAGCATTTTGGTTGTTACGTAACAGTGACCATCTGATCATCGTATCGTTGAGCCTTACCGCATTCTGTTAACTTGCACCAGATGCAGAGCATCTGCCGTGGAGATTGGTAGTGTACAATCAGGTATTTCCCGGGGCAACCTGACTGAGGAAACTCCTTGTTGTTCACATAAAAGACTGTCCAGTTCCGTGAGTAGTCAACCAACCAGATCCGGACTGCAACATCCTCCAAACGGAATAGTTGACCTGTATCTGCAGACATCCTTGACAACGGGGCGCATTAGAAATAATTTAGTGCTCACGCTCCCCCTTGACGCACGTAGAATTTCTGCGCAGATTCAAAATTCACGTTCTGAAGACGGAGTGGCATTATGTCTATTTGTCTGCTAAATCAAGATTGCAACAGTGATCCGATGCGGTTTCACGTCCCCCTGAAGGAAATCATGCGCGATCTTCGATGGAGGGCGCCTTTTATGAATTATGGATACTAATGCAACAGCGTGTAAAAAAGAAGCGCGAAAATCGACTTATATTTCATATAGTTGCTAATAAGTATCTCTCCAAGGGTGATCCTGCTCATGCTGGAAACTCTTATCTTCGACTCTCTCTCTCTTTCTCTCTCTTTCTCTCTCTCACTCTCTGTCTGAGCAGACTCTCTCTCTCCCTCTCTCTCTGTCTGTGCAGTCTCTCTCTCTCTCACTTTCTCTCTCACTCTGTCTATGCAGTCTCTCTCCCTCACTCGCTCTCTCTCTTTCTCTCTGTCTGTGCAGTCTCTCTCTCTCTCACTTTCTCTCTCTCACCCTCCGTCTGTCTGTGCAGTCTCTCTCTCTCACTCTCCCTCTGCGTGCGCGTGCTTTGTAGCTTCCCACCAAGATGTCACACTCATGCTGCATCAAGTTCACATAATCGTGGCCGTGTGTGGGAACAGGTAAATCTCACTGTAGATCATGGGAGGATACACTGCAATTAACCCTTTGTATACTGCAGGGTCAACCCGTGGAAGGGTACTCCACCATATCCATTCGTCTGTGCACGGTTCCCTACTTGACCCCTCCTACTTGACCCCTCGTCAGATAAGAGATATGGGTGTTGCAATCATGCCCCCTTTCAACAGGAAAGAGTGAATCCTCCTTCAGAACAAGGGAAGGCCCATGGCTGTATTCATTGTCTTCTCCGCGCCTCACTCCCTTGGCTTTCCCTACCACCGTCAAAAGCTCGTTTCACCGTGCCTTCGCTTTCCCTGTCTTGCTAGTTCTCTCACTCCCACTCTCTCTCTCTTTCTTCCTCGAGCGTCCTCACTTCCAACTGCCAACGAACTCGCATGGCCAGCAACTCATGGACGGTCACACACGTTGTGGCAACGCTCGCCCTGGTCACTCGCTCCAGCGCACCCTGGTCGCCTCAGTCCCCGAATCCCCCGTTGGCGCCACCTTGGTAGGCGACGTACACCTTGGGCGCCGTCATCTCCCTAATGCCCGTCTCTCCCCTCTCGCGTGTCCTCCATGCTTGCCTGTCTTCCCTCCCCCGTGGGCGGTGTACACCATGCGCACAGTCCCCTCCCAAAGTCAGAACCCTTGCTTGTATAGCTGCCAACATAGCTGGCACCTGCACGGGCAAGCCCATGCCCGAAAAGGAAGGGGTACTGACCGCTGGCGCAGCACCAATGTCTGCCCCGGTACCAGCTGGAGGCCAAGACTGCAGATCCAGGCCCGGTGAACAAACCTCTGGTCTGGTACCAGTAGGACCAAAAACAGGTCCAAAAACAATTCTTGTGGTGCAGATCCAGGCATGGCACAGTTGCCATACCGACAACCCTCGCCCGCTGCAGTCCCAGTGTCAATACAAGGTCGGTGGCTGCAACACAGTCCGCTGCAGACCTGGTACGGCAAATGTCCTTGGCCCAATGGCTGTTCCATCCACACAGTACACATGGATCCGATCTAGGTATACACCTCCAATCGAGACTCGACAAGAGTGGGTTGGACCTGTTGCAACGGACCATCCAAATGATGAACCCCACCGTGATCCAGACCAAGTACCAGTGAACCGTGCTACTGACTTGTACCAATGCACCGTGTCAATGAACCGTACCAAGAAACCACACCGACAAGCCGCATCCGTAAACCGTACCCGCGCCGAACTGGTGACAGTCGTGGTCCCAGACCGGAGCCCATACTGCGACAGTCAAGGGAGGCCTGATGACAACTAGAAAAACCCTCACTTAGAAAAGATCCGTATGAGCAGATCCATACACCGCAAAATAGCTAATCGCTGCATCCCGCTCTCCGCACTTTTAATTATATTAAATAATAATAATAATAATAATAATAATAATCATAACGGTCACTCACATTCAGGGCAACAGGGTTCATAAGCGGGGTAACAAAATAGTCTAGATTGGGACAAACGTCGGGGGGGATACATAATCAGGGGAAAATAAGATGGAAATGAAGTACCATTCAAGATCGTGGGTTTTGAGTTCCTTTTCATCATTGATTATTTCGACCGCGTTCTAAAATTTATTTATGTAAGTAAATAATAAAATCGTCCCAATTCGGCCGTGCAAAACCGACCGTGCAAAGACCCGCGCACACGTCGGTGACCAATTATCCGAAGAAAGGAGAATAAGGGAAAAATAACCGTATAACAGACACGTCAAGGGTAGGAAAACAAATAATATGGCCAATGACATATGCAAGGAACATGAATATGGACGAAGCACAAAAATCCAAATTGCAAAATCACACTGAAGTCCAAGTAGTCAAAGCAAGAGCAGATAGCACAATG